TGGCACTACCGAGCGAAATAATTATGAATTCTTAATCAGCGTGCAAAATAAGCCCCCTAACGAAGTTTTAGCCAAATCCGCAAACTTCATTTTTTGGGTCAGTTAAAGTGGAATAGCGCCCCGCTTTTTTTTGTTCTCTCGAGAAAAAAAGAAGAAATCCATATGAAAAACTTTCCAAGATGTTACTTATACGCTTTATTTATTTATTTATTTATTTATTTATTTATTTAAAATACACCAAAAGTGTGCCAAAAAGAACACAAGTAATCAATAGCTAGAAATATTATCACACGAAATGTTACACAGAGTTCATGATAGACAGGTGAGGCAGGTAAAATGCTCCGCCCGAAGTGCAGGTCGTTCTCCTTCTTCTGTGGCGAGTATTCCTCTGCCGAAATCTTGTTCCCTTACCCGGACGCGTTGGATGACCGCACTTACCAGGGCTGGCTGACCACTTAACCCTTTGCGGACGAATCCGCCAGGGGGGGCGGGCGTTAGGTACCCAGCCGAAGTGCGGGCGTTAGGTACCCAACTATTAGTGGTATACACTAGGCCACGCCCCTTAGTGGCTTTATAGAGGGTACCTAACGATACACCGAATCCTAGCTGCTAGAACAGCTCACCTAGCTCGTTAGAGCGCTGGCGCTTGCGACCCACAGAAAAAAGATAATTCAACGAAATAGAAAAATTGCTCGAATGAAAGCGCAAGTTTGTACACAAGGTTTTTTATGTTGCTTCCTTTTCTTTTCAATTTTAGAATCACAGAAATTCGGGGATGAAACAAAATAGGGCAAAGCTTCCATGAGCACTTCACATAGATTTGCAAAAAGAAATGATAATTTGATCTAACCGATAATGTCAGAGGGAATTCCAAAATGGTAAATTTTGTGGAATTCCAAAATTTTATGATTTTAATGAAGCAAATGGTACTTTAGGAGATGCCCCTAGCAAATAAGCTGTACGGAATATTCTTTTGTTTTGAAAAACTGCTTCAAACATATGTTTGACAATGAGAAGCGGAACCGATTGGAAGAAGAGTTCGATAAAACTTTGTCATCAGGAATCGGAACCTTATGGAGAACTATGTGACCCACTGATTTATGGGAAGGGCATTAGCTCTGTTCCAATCAATAAAAATTTTGCATTATAGAGCTATATCAATACCGGATGAATGTTCAATAGAATGAAACAGGAAAAGCAACAAGCTCTACCTAGAGCAATTTTGACAATATCTTTCGCTTTTTAGTGCAGATTCATAATCTTGGTTGGATAAATCGATCATATTTTGGCTGCTAAAAAAGAGAATGAATATGAAAGAATTGCAATAAATGTACTCCAAAAAATACTACAGAAAACACAAGCATAATAGAATACAGTAACTCAATGAAGTTCCAAGGGATGTAAACTCTTCCGAAGTAAAGAAGTAAATGTGTGCCTATCAATGTAATGTCCCATAACTCTGTTGCCCTCAGCAATGACCGAAGTAATAACTTTAATAATCTACGATAATGTAGTCCACGATCCCTTTGGCAATATTAACGCAAAAGGGTTACCCTGACTGGAACAGAGTTAGTGCCCTTCCCATAAATTGATATGTTACATAATTTTCCATAAGTCTCATGAGCTTTTCGATTCCTGATGACAAAGTTTTATCGAAGCTCTTCTTCCAATCGGTTCCGCTTCTCATTGCCAAACATATGTTTGAAGCAGTTTTTTGAAACAAAAGAATATTCTGTGCAATTTATTTGCCAGGGGCATCTCCTAAAGTACCATTTGCTTCATTAAAATCATAAAATTTTGGTATTCTTCATTTTGAAGTTCCCTCTGACATTATCGGTTAGATCAGATTACTACAACTTCTTGCAAATCTATGTGCTCATGCAAGCTTTGCCCTATTTTTGACTTTCATCTCCAAATTTCTGTGATTCTAAAATTGATAAAAAAAGGAAGCAATAGAAAAAACGTTGTGTACAAACTTGCGTTTCATTCGAGCAATTTTTTTATTTTGCTGGATTATTATTTTTCTGTGTCGCAAGCGCCAGCGCTTTAACGAGCTAGGTGAGCTGTTCTAGCAGCTAGGATTCGCTGTATCGTTAGGTACCCTCTATAAAGCCACTAAGGGGCGTGGCCTAGTGTATGCCACTAATAGTTGGGTACCTAACGCCCGCACTTCGGCTGGGTACCTAACGCCACGCACCCATCCGCCAGGGACCCTGGGCGAGCGAGAAGGGGGGACTTTATACTCAAAGGAGTAGCACAAAATAATCCTTTAAACCTCGGTCCCCTACGGATTGTGGCCATTATGAAAGAAACTCTCCTGTTTGTATTATGAAATTCTCTCATAAGACTCAACGTACGAAAAAGACTTTTCGCGCTATCTTAGATATTCTAGCAAAGTCGAAAATCTGAGCCAGGCAGCATTTTCTGCATTGTGGAAACATGCAGTTCACAAGAACGGTGTTGAAAACACAAATTAGAGAACAGATACTCCCAGAATGTTTGCTTAAAACGAAGCTTTGCTTTTGTGGCGTAATTAGCGTAAAACACCGCTGGCGTCAACTGGTATGCGGTTTGTCTTTTGTCTGAAATACCTTTGGGAATTAGCGAAAACGGAACTAGAGTTAAATGTTGGTTTCATGAAAACAAGTAAACTGCAGATAAGAATGTGTTTTTATGCAATTCATTTATAGGTATCAAACATGCGCGCAAGCTAAAAGTGTAGTCTTGGAATTTATCTCTCAGTCCTATTCGATAGCTTGTCACATACGCAGAACATGGCGCTGTTCGCTCTTGCCCCATCTCAGAGCCGTGTTAAGGTTTGTGTCAGATACCATGGATTCATAAGTACATTCGAGGAGAATTGTTGAAGGAGTTTAAACTTAAGCCGGTCGTAAACGTCCTTTTCTTGCATGAGGACTCGTTTGAGAACTTCAGCCCAAAGTTGTGATAGAAAATGTGTTCAGAGAATGGTTGGCACAAAATTATAGCGAAAAGAAGATTCTTTTGCTAGCTTCCCTGTTCACTAATTCAGTGCTTGAGCGATAAACGGAATTCAATTCCGATTTACGCCCTACAATAGGCTCCCTCCTCCAATGGAGATCAATGAACCGAGCGGGAAATTGAGCCCGAACGAGCGCTGTCTAGAACTTTCCACTGTCACCAACACACAGCTAGGGGGATGTGTTTATTCGTTTACTCCTCTTCACTTATTTCCTTTTAATTCATAATTACTACCATCTCACTTGGTCAGCAGTGTCGTCTGGTCGGCTAGCTCAGTCTAGTTACCGCTACTACATAGCAAACAAATTTACGATTTATAATATTCGCTGAATTCTTCAAATCTGTCCCAGTAGGTTCACTCCAGCAAATTTATAATGTCGCTTTAGGCGGATTAAGTGATTAATCGAATATAATTCAATCTAAGGTTACTTATTTACTCGTACACTATTCTAGGTAGGACAAATATTCAATTACAATCCATACACTTACATTGAGTGCAGATAGAAAAATCATTATAGATTTGATCCTCACACTCGAACAGAAAATCTTAGCGAAGTTATACAAGCTAACTTTTCTTTTGCAAAATTCTTTTTATGCAATTAGTTGGCCCAAGATATGGTAAGCTGCATAAAGATTTTGAAATTTTAGCACCTCAAACAATCTCAGTCCAGAATTGGAAACGTCTTAGAATCACCCGAGACAAGCTCTTTTCGCTAATGGCACTAGGGTAGAGAGACTGGCCAGATAATAACAAAATCTTAGCATTATCAGACTTGAATCGGATATCCTTAGAAAGTCATTCAGGCTGAGTTCTCTTCTTCGCAATGCATTCAGAATAAAATTGACGAGATAGCGATGAAATCTATTAGGTCATTCCGAAAGTAATTTCGCTTTTTTCAAACGGGCGCCACATCTGATGGAACAAAGATTTTTGAGAGATCTTGGTAGCATTCGACACAGCATTTCATTCTATTTCTAAAAATTATGAAATTGTTGCAAAACAATCAATGACCTCTCAGAAAACCACCAAAATCTGCGACCTATGCTTTTTGAGATAGCCAAGTTTCACAATTTTTTAAAACTTTCATATCAGTTCTCAGAAGAACTTCAAGTGACGGTTCGATAGAGCAAACCTCATAGAATAAGTGCAACTTTTTTCTCTTTTCCATAGCTTGTCATACATTTAAAACAGAATTTTAACTGATGCTACCGATTTTACTTGGACAGCTAATTCCTAGTAGAACATCGAACCTTGAGCAGCTCGGGTGTCATTCGATGCAGCTATTCCTCCTCTTTCTAATGGGTGTTTTTTGTTTCCGATTCATTTAGTTTCCGGGAATAAAATCATCGTAACTCATTTTTTTAGCGAGCCCCAGGCTGTATCCGAAAAACTCGAATTTGATATTTCGAACCCGTAAACCCTCACTTGCTTTGTAAAATTAATGCTAACTCATAGTACCATTTTGGTAGTCTCAAATTCCGGAAAATTATGATGTTTGATGCGATTGTGGTTGAGGTGGGCCTGCCAAAATCCAATGGTTCTGTTAAAAATCTTTTAAAAAATTACGGCGAGTTACGAGAAAGGGGAAAAAGCAGCCCTGTATTCTATAAGGTTTACTCTAGCGAATCGTTACTTGAACTCCTTCTGAGGATTGACATGAAAGTTTTGAAAAATCTGAGACTTGACCATCTCAAAAAGCATGGGTCGCAGATTTTAGTTATTTTCTGAAAGTTCATTGATTCCTTTGCAACAGTTTTATAACCTTTAGAAAGAGAATGAAATGCTGCATCGAATGCTTCCAAGATCTCTCAGAAACCTTTGTTCCATCAGATATGGCGCCTGTTTGAAAAAAACGAAATTACTTTCGGAATGACCTAATAGTATTTCATAATGAACCAAGTGATTTAATCCACATAAATTTGAGATGAGCATAACTTTACAAAATAGTAACATGCTTGACATCGGTCTGCTTGAATGATCGATTCATATCTAGTTAGACATGGATGCTTCTTGTAGGCTTGCCCAATTTGTGATCAACAAAAGCTCAAATCAATCAAGATCAAAAAATGCTGCCGACCTCGACTGTCATCATTTCGTTCGCAGGTGTGCTGTCCTACGTAAGTTGTTATAAGTAGTTATTTTTTCTTTTGAGCGAAGCTATAATTTATAGGTCGCTGCTCCGGAAAGGAACATTATAAATGGACTTCTCACAATCACTCCAGTTTCTGCAACATTAAGCAAGACCTCCGTGAAACTTTGACCATGATCGATAGCCTAACAGCTGCACAGGTGGGCTCCTTCGCATTAGTGATCGCTAATTTGAAATGGAAAGAAATTCTACAAGGGATGATTAGACCCACAAAATTTTTACGCTGATGTATGTCTTTGAGGTGCTTCTTGCAAACTTAAGGAACTCCTCCCCAAATGATTAATCGCATCTGGTTATGTGGCTGCGCAGCACATTCGGACATACTCTACTTACAAACTCCCCTGATACAACCATCAGTTTCCACCTCCCAGCTTATACGGCGTAGTTATTAAAACTGGGACTTCGTGGAAAGTCTAGGCTCAGCGATATGAACATTCCAAACAGACGAATTTAGTTGTGGTATAAATGCGGATTTGGAGACTCTCACGCATCATGTAAAACACTAGTTGCCTTTAGGAATACAAGTTAAAGCCACTTCATAACTAGAGTGCCAAAAACAAGAAAGCGTGTACGTTCAATATGCTTTTTCTGCGGGATTCCAAGAATGGCTGTATAATTTTTTCTAAGACAATCGCATCTGTAGAGAAAAAAATGTAATGTATAACTTGCATTAGCTAATTCGTGCAAATACCGCCAGTAGAGATTGAGAACTATTTAGCTTCATGCTCTGATGTGATTCTCGTTCTACTTGGTAAGGTGGAGTATGCAAACTAACATGCTAGTTTTTGTGGATATGCGGAGTTTGATTTGGCTTTTCTAACAACAAGGATGGGGTTTTCGTAGTTTCTTCTCACAGACATTTGAACTTGGGTGCTTTTGCGACATTTTACCATTTCACTCACTAAATTACGAAGAGTTTTTTAAAAATTTGTGTAAATTTGTATTAAGCTACCTACTGCGGTGATGAGGGTATAATCTCTCTCCCCGGATACCGTTCTCTGCCCCAGTGCCTATTGTGAAGCTTTTGGCAATATAGACCTTAGTGTTTTTTTTTCATATCTCGAGAATTACTGGAGTAGGTGTCGAGTTTATTTGCGAGATGAGCAACTTACATTGTTGTATTTGGGGAGTTTGTGGTTATAGCGAATAGGGATGTGCCTCGTGAGCACATACGCAAAGCTGCGAGTAAACTTCTGGGTGGAAATTTTTTTCAGAATCACTATAGCAAAGATAAGAACTAATGGGTTTCGGCTGTCCATAATTGTGTCACAGGGACGCTAAGCTAGGTTCTTGCTATGCTGTAGGACTTCAAATATTTATGATAAAGGTTTTTGCCCTGTAAAATAGGTAAAGTGCGGTTTATTTAACGCCCCTTAATTTTAGAGTTTGAGCCTTTTTGGAAACTCAAAGAAGCATTGGTGCTAGTGAAATAGCATTGCTAAAACGGTAAAGACCAAAAAGGAAACGGTATCGATTTTGAGAACGAATTTTGAGCTGAATACGTTTTTTAGCGATTGGTTATCATACAAACACCTCAAAGTTCTCTTTTTCACTAAAAGCTGCAACCTTTCGCATCAAATCTTTCAGTGAAGTTCAACAAAAGAGATGTCTGCTATAAGCCGAACCCGGTTATTTTCGAGCAGCTCAAAATGCTTTGAATTCAGTGCACACCAAAAAGGAGTGTTTTCTATAACTCAAGGACCCTTCCTCGCATAAAGGTACTTAAAGCTTTTTTGATAGATGCGTTGTTTGATGCTTGGAAATACTCTGTGTACTGCTCGCGTACTAAAACGTTTTCTACCATCGACGTCCCTAGGGCCAACGATTTTTTGAGTTTTTTTTTCAGGAAGAATCTAGTCGCGAAGCATTTTCGCTGTAGATTGTAATATTATCCAGCGGATTGCAAATTTACCAAAGCTATCCATGCCTACACAAAGCTCCCCTACACTTGATCAAGAGCTTCGCTCCGCAGTTCGGGTGCTTTTTTTTAATAATTCAAAGGATAAGCTAATACAGAATGTGTTCAGTATAGAAATTCTTCATCTTTTCATTGGCTCTGTTTTCAAAGTGATTCCTTCGACCAGCGCTCAAATATTCCTCGAGGTTTTTAATCCAACATTCCCGGCTTTAGTTTTTATTTCAGGCATTCGAATAAGCTTTGATGATCAGCGAGCAAAAATGAGCTTTTGAAAATACAAAATATTTTTCACCATTTTAGCTGACCTTCCCCTGTTTTCAGAAAAACTCTCTAAATCGCAAATTTCAAGAGTGTCGCGCAATTCATGAGTTCCACAAATTGCTAAGGAAATCAAAAAATCTAAAGAAAAAATTTGACTATCATAAAAGCTTTATTAGCAAGATGATTGAGCGATTGTCGCGCAAAAAATAGAGAGATTATGAAATTTTTAGTGCGGTAGTACTCGCTTATGAATTAGGAAAACAGAACATTTTTCTGACACATCTTTTAAATAAGCTCAAGGCTCGAATGGTAGGTGAACTTCAAATAATGCCGAAGCGGTCGTCGCAATGTCGAGTCAAAAACGTGGTTGTGAGAAAAAGAAGAAAATTCTGCCAGACATGAAATACCTCTTAGGTCCTTAACGGCAGGGAATTTCGAGTCTATCATATTTAAGCTATCAAGGCAATGTAGTGGTGTCACATAAAATAACAAAATATCAGGTCATTCCAAAAGTAATGTCGCACTTGATGCAGCATTCATTCTCTTTCTAATGGTTATGTAACCTCTGCACAAAATGATCTCTCGAAAATGATCTTTTTGATGGAATTACCGAATTTTAGTTTCACAATTTTTTAAATTTTTATAACACCTCCGAAGGAGTCCAAGTAATAGGTGGATTGAGCAAACCCTATAGGTAACATCACAGTTTTTTCTGCTTTCCAGAGCTCGTCATAATTTTCGTATAGATTTTTTGATGGAATTACCGAATTTTAGCAGGCTTGTTTCAGACACAAATGCACCAAACACCAATAAATCTTCGGATTTTGAAATCTTCGGATTATGGTTTGACACTAATTTTACAAACCAAATGAGCATTCACCGCTTCAGATTAGCAGCTTTCGAAAATTTCGAGTACAGCCTGGGTCGCCCTGGAAAACCTGAATTATGATGATTTTATCCCGGAAACCTGATAAATCGCAAACTAAAAACAACTAGAAAAGGGAGAAAAAGGCCGAACTTGACCATGGCAAAAAGCATGAACGCAGACTTTGGTAATTTTTGAGAGCTCGTTGATTATTATGCATTGAAATTACAACCGTTAGAAAGAGGATGGAATGCTGCATCGAATGTCCCTAAGATTTTTTGAAATTTTTGATTCGATGAAATGTGCCGTTCATTTGTAAATAAAAACGACATTACTTTCGGAACGACCTAATACATGAGATCCCCGGGGAATGAAAGGGGAACAAAATTGAAAGCCTGTATATTTCATTGCCAACTCAACTTTTTGCGACTAGCATATGACAGATCTCTAGCTAAGAAAACAGTAGTGATTTAGGTTTCCATCTAATTCGCAACTAAAATTCTCAAAAAGGAGATGGCACGAATGACCTACTGCGTACAGGATGAAATTCCTTGCCAAAATCAATTATAACACAAAACTACGAAAAAGCGCTTTCACAGTCCTCATGATCCTTGTGTAATAATGAGTATTGATATACAAGTGACAAAAAATCGTTCTTTTGTTTCATAATATTTTTATTGCTTTTGGAGCAGTTCATATATCATGAAAGGGGGGGGGGGGGAGGGAAACTTATGCAAAGATGCAGCATGCAATTTGTCTCACACCTTCAAACTTATTTTAGTTTCAAACTTTGGGAGAGGGGGGTTTGAGATTTCGTAGGCTTGAACAATGAAACCGTGTCCGTGATCTCGCGATTGCATATAAAAGCAAAAGTTTTCCACGATTCAACTCGATCTGGTACTTTATCTCCTGATCCACCTTCTTTATCTCCTGATCCACCTTCTTGCTTTGAACAAAGTCTCAGAAATCTTTCTCGGAATCTACTCAGACATGAGTGGGATGCTCATCATTAACATAAAAGTTTCTTTATTTCTGATGCTGACATTCTTTGAATTTCGGTTTCTCGCTGATGATACTTTGTTAAAATGGTATCTGGTAGAGTCGGCTGCACGAAATCGCCCGGGTCCCAGTAGGCTGCAGGCTCGAGCGTGCGTGTAGCGCGGCTGCCGAGTACGGGCGCTATGCTAACTCACGCGCGCGAATGCCAATGTTAGCCCGCAAGAGAACGCGCGCGAGTGTTCAGTCCGGGCGATTCCGTGCAGTCAACTTTAGCTTGCACTGAAGAATGCTCCTTTGATACTGATAGCTGTCTCGGATTTTAGTCATTTCCAAGCAGGGTCAAAAGAATTTGTTTCCAAGGGATATCTTAATCTCCACAGCGTCCGCGATCAGTACGTAATCCACAAGAAGACCCTAGGACTCACATGCGTTGGTCCGGTCCTCTAATGTGGCCTCTGAATGGAAAAAATGCTGAGGTATTGAAAACCGTCTGTGACTTCAGGATAGGGTTCCTAGAGATCGTATTTATTTTTTGTGGGAGGTGGGAAGGGAGGAGGAAGAGTTGCACATTTTTCATCATATCTGTAGTCAGGGCCACGGAAGGACTGCAATAACAAAAAGAATGAAAATTTGGGTGGATGACTGCCTTCAATCATCTCCTGCGGTTACGGACGACAGGCCTTCGGTTCCTCCCTGCAGCGCATCCTGGCATTAAATAGGACTTTTGCTGCCCTTTACTCAAAATTTTTAGCAATTCGCATAGGACACGGATTGTACCAGAGCACACTATTTCCAGTCCAAATGTTCGAAGAATTAAAATAACTATAAGATGTGCTAACATTATGATATGGCTTTTTTCCGCCCTTGCAAAGTGCAGAAAATAAAATACGCAAATTTCGGATTTGTTTACTGTGAGAAATGCTGCATTCTACCTTGCCTTCAATTCTCAACAAGATCAATTACAGACGACCAACAGATTGAGTTAGGTCTTTAAAGGCAGCGTCCAGGCAGATCTGGATTTATGGAGCTTTTACGTGGAAAGACTTTTGGGGCCCCAACTAAGGCACTGCCCAGGCGGCAGCTCAGGTAGTGCTGTAATGGCTGAGACATTCCCTTCGAAACTGGACCCCGCGACCACCTTTCGCATAGATTCATGGCGCAAAGCGTCGATCCTAGCGCGAAACTGCCATGAATCCATGCGAGTACGTTCCGTGTGCAGGAGATCGCTGAGCACTGAAAGTAAAAAAGCAATGAAAGCCCATGTAATGATATATGAGCTGCTCCACGAGCATCAAATTTTGAGACGAAAAACGATTTTCTTTGGTTTTGTGATAACAATTATTGTTTTATGTAATCATAAGAAGTTTAGACGCGTTATTTTCGTGTACTATTTTTGAAACCGCGGTCTCTCCTTTTGGCAAGCATTGAAAAGAGATCTTGTCGAAATGAATCTTCTTTGACGGTTTTGGTCTCGAGTCGATTACAAACTTAACAAGGGAAGGATACCAGGTCACAGTGGCGAACAGAAATGATTTGCATAGCATTAGATGCGTCTTGATGAGCTGTCCAAATCTGCCTTTCCTATCTGCTACGAGCTTCTCTAGAAAAGCTATGGACGTTTAAAGATGTGCGATTTAGCATTTTGATGCGTAAGGCGTTTCAAAAACTAGCTTAGGTGTGATCAATCGGCATGTTTTAGTACACTGACTACAAGGAATGCATACAGAACATATGAGTAAGCGTCTTCGAACATCTTGAAGAAGTGGCAATGAATGTTTGCTAATTTTGAACATTCAAATGCCCAAAGCTTTTTCTGGAGAAGCTCATAGCATATAGGAAAGGTAAATTTGGAATCAGCTCATCGAAACGCATCTAATGGTATGCATATCATTTTCGGTTCGCCACTGCGATTTGGTATCCTTCCCTTGTTAGATCACTACCGTTTCCCTAGTAAGATAGCTATTATATGCTCAATGGATGAAGTATATCAGAACCGAAAATTCGTGCTGATTTTTGGACCTATCAACGCTTTTTATGACTACGTTTTCGACTCAACTCTTGCGACGATGCTTAGTCATTACTTAAAATTCAAAATCTATCATTTTCACCTTGAGTTCACATAATTTGCAAAATGTGCAGAACTGTCCATTCCCCTAACATAAGTAATTCTATTTTTGCGCAGCAATCGTTTGATTATCTTGTAAGATAAGTTTTTTTCTTGTGAAAATCGAGTCTTATCTTCAAATTTTGCAATTTTTAAAGGATCTGATGGACTTTTAAATTGCGCGACACCAATAAAGTTTGCGATCTATAGAGTTGAAAAGTTGGGGAATGTCAGGTAAAAAGGTTAAAAAAAACTTATTGCATTTTAGAAGCTCTGCTCTATTTGCTGGTTAACAAAGCTTATTCAAATGTCTGGAGCAAAAACTCGGGACTGTACGAAATCGAGAATTCTGGGTCAAAAACCTCGGGCAATATTTATGCACGTCGAGAGGCTGTGAAAACAGCCATTGAGAAGTGATCCTAGAGGGAGCTTTGTGTTGGCTGCAGCTTTGACTTGTTTACGAGTTTGTGATACCATGAAAATTATTCACATTTGAGCAAAAATGCTTTACTAGATGGCCCATTATTGATGTTATCCGACATATTCAATGGTCTTTATTCCACTGCAGTAGATGCAATACATAAAATACACTGCATCGGAGAAAACATTTTGAAGTATAGAATTCCAGGCAGACGATCCAATTGAGCGATAATACAATAGCGGTAACTCGTAGCGGCGTCGGCGCTCAGGTAAGTTTTGCGAGCGAGGGTGAGTGTGTGTAAGCGTAGAAGTGTGAGGGTAAGTAAGGGTGAGAATGTGAAAAGTTGAGTGGGTAAGGGTTAGGTAGAGCGCGAGTGTGAGGAAGGGAGAGAGAGAGTGAAAGGGTGAGTGTGTGGGAGGGCGAGGGTGTGGTAGAGCAGAAGTGTGAGGGTGAGTTAGTGAGTGAGGGTGTGGAAGGAGGGGAGTGTGTGAAAGGGAGCGTGTGTGGAAGGGTAAGGGTGTGGAAGAGAAGGGAGAGGATGAGAGTGTGAGCTAGGAAGGGGGGAGATGAAGAATTAGTAAGAAGGGTTGCCTGTACATGCTTGAGGATTTGAATAAGGATCTACGCCCGCCTCTCATTATCACTCTCTGTCCTCCCCATTCTTTCTCACCCTCACTTCCTCCCCTCACTCACCTCACCCTTGCCCACCCCCTACCCCTTCCTCACACTTACCCTAACTCACTCCCCCACTCTTTCGCACACTCACGCACAATTTCACCCTTACCCTCCCACTCTAGCACACACTCACCCTCCCATACACTTGCCCTTTCTCACACTCTCGTCACTCCTCACTCTCCCACACTTTCATACCCACACCCTCACTCCCTTTCTCACTCTCACCCTTTCATACTCGCTATCTCACACTCACCCTTTCAAACTTACCTCCATAAGAAGAACTCCATCACAGAAGGACGTAGACAACTCTGAAATTATTGTGTTTTCTTTGAATGATCATTGTATCCAAATTAAAATAAATGCTGTCTCTACCAATGTTGCCCTACAACAATGAGTTTGAAAAAAAAAGACTGATCTCAAAAAGTGACGACACCATAATTAAGTCTTGCTGACTTTATAGAGAAATAAGATCTTTGTGGTCTATGGTCAAAAGCGACGAAAGTAATAATACTATTGATTCGGTTCTTGTACTTATAGCGCATGGAAACACGTCGCCTTGCAAGCATCTCAATTTTCTCTTTATCCAAAGTGAAAACTCAAAAAATCATTGTTCTGGGGAGCAGAACCTTTCAATCAAAGGTTTCATCGTTTATTCACTTGGGTTCGTGCTTGTAAGGCAAACTCGAATACCATAACCACAAATATCGCAAGGTACAACGCCACAAAGCTTTTTTTAAAATAAAAACTCAACTTAATATCCTCTTACACAAGCTACGAAGGTTAGCACATTGCTAAAAACGGTCGTTCTATCATTTGATCAAAATATGTTAGGTTGAACCGAAAGCTCGTTCGCACAATTTTCGAAAAACCCCAACTTTTTTCTATCCCAACGTCTGCTCGAATTAAATTTTGTCAAAAACGTAAAGCATGTATTTTTCGATAGTGGCCTAATGGCTTTCAGGTAGGTTCAGATTGCAGAGATGAAAATGGAAGAAGGAAATCTTCCCAAAAATTGGCGATTCAAGGCAAGTTTGTTAAAAATCCAAAAACTGCGCAATAAAATCCAAGACAGCCATTATCGTTAGTCTTTTGACGTCCTCTTCAACTGAGCAAAGCTTGTGCTGATCGAGTTCTTCTTTGACAAGCTATGATTTTCGAAGTGCCAAAAAATTAATTTCCTAGGGAAAGTGATTTTCTGGCATTTCTTCTCAAAGCATCATAACTTTCAGAGAAGAACTCGACAGCACAAACTTTGCTCATTTAGAAAGAGGAGGTCAGAAAACTTATGACAGCGGTTGTAATGACCTTTATTGCGCAGTTTCTGGATTTTTAACGGGCTTCCTTCTCCCATTTTTCATCTCTGCCATCTCCATCGTGAGTTAGCGTAAGTCCATTAAGCCACCTTTAGAAAGCACATGCTTTAGGCTTTCTAAAATAGTTTGATTCGAGCAGAATCGTTGTGACAGAAAAAAGTTAGGTCTTTTTGGAATAGTGCGAACGAAGTTTCGGCTCAGCCTAATAGATAAGCCAAGAAAAATGTAGTCAAAACTCTGAGATCACAATATCGGGGTAACACCGACGTTAATTTGAAAAAAAAGTGAACTCAAATGAAATGAGTCAAGTCTGATGATATTTTAACTACTCTAGTGTACAGGGTGTCCCAAAAAGATGTGCACACTGTTTGATCGTTAATAACTCTCTTACTTTCATGTCTTTTGCTGGACATGAGGTGCCATTCTTAGAGCGAGGTTCAGCTTAGATTTACAGTATAGAGCGAATTATCAGTCGCTCTACATTACTGTAGGATTACGGTAGGAACTTCGAGGAGCATTTCAAGTCATTGAGAGCGGTATTTTGCCTTGAAAGAAAGCCAAACAAGCCAGAAACTCTTGAAATGGATTGATCGAAGTCGTTGACTCCAAATTTGAAAACTGCGATTCAGTATAATGCTTTTTCTTTAAGTTATTCCAGATTTAGGGTAACAACTGTTTTTCCAGTGTTCGTCAGAAATGTCATTATACCACTGAAAAAGCTCGAAAAACTGGTAAGAAGTCGTGCAGTGGAATGAGCACGCCCGAAAACCTTGCTACACAAATTTTCAGATTTTTTTTTGAAGTTATTTTATCAAAATGCCTATTCCACAGTGACGCTGTATGCTAAACGTTCATGCCGTAATCCTACAGTAATGAAGAAGGATTGGTGGTTCGCTCCATACTGTGAACCTGAGTTGAAACCTACACTATAGAATGGTACCTCAAGCTCGGCAAAAGGCTTGAAAACAAAAGACCATCAAACAGTGTGCAAATCTTTTTGGGACACTCTGTATAGTATTAGGTTGCTGCATAAGTTCTGTCCGATTATTTCTGCCTTATGTTTAAAGCAGCTGTTCCAAGAGAATTTCATTTCTATTGCAGTATTGTTAGTATCGTTAGAAAGTGCTTTTCTTACTCTTTCTAACGCATATCAGATTCAATAAATTTCCTAGTGTACGGAGACTTCAGGCCTAAAATCCCTAAGTGACCGAGGTACGTCTCACCCTAGAAATATGTTCCTGCGAAGAGATCTCCACAATGCGTCCTTCAAGTCAAGTTCTTTCATTGGCTGCGGAATAAAGGTCTAGAAGGCTATCTTGCTAGTGTAATTTATCGTCGAACGTTGATCTTTTGTATAGCTGTTTTACAAGCAATAACTTCCTGCGAACAGAAGTTATCGATGAGTTCAAAGTTGATGATGGTAGAGCAAAGCAAGAGCGAGCAGGGCCCATTCACCAATTCCTTTTTGGCGCTCACTTCAATTGTAGAATTTTCATATTCGTAGATAGGCATGCACACATGTGCTGAAGCGAGGTCAAAAAATGGCTTTTTTTGTTTGGTCAAAAAAATCTCTCGGCAGCGCAGACCCTATGGGTTTCTTAATGTCGCAGAACAATCTACAAAAATTTCTCTATCTATCCATTGTTAGATAAAAAGTTTTTCAATTCTCATAAGGGAGGGTTGCCATGTCAAAAAAGACAGGTCTGAAGAAAAACGCTGTGTAGTTTTTGCATTCTTGCTTGTTCCTTAACAAGGATTTGAGCAGGTCTCAATATATGTTTCATAGCCAAGGGACTGCTCAATACATAGAAACTAAAATCTTGGAAAAAAGTTGACTTTGAAAGAAGTTAAGACGTTTTGAACTCAAAAAATCCAAATCGGACAGAACTTATGCAGCAACCCAATATAGTAAGAACTGCAAAAATAAGCCTATGTAAAGTCGACCTATAATTGATAGAAATAACAAAAGTCTTTGTAAGCCCCTGGATACTTTTCTGAGAAAGATCAACACGAGATCATTTCTTCAAAATTCAAAATAAATCAGGCAGATGCAACAGTTACATGTCTTTCGCTCTTTGATTCCAGAAAGTGTCAAAAAATTCGCCCCATCTGTAAACTACAGCAAATAGTGCCACGCATGCACCCAAGTCCAACCAAACTCTCAAATGAACAAGATTCATGCTCTCTCGCACCCGGGCTTCTTAAGAGTTCTTGCAAAGCTACAACCCGTCAGGGTCTGCGCTTTTTCAATCCAAGTTAAAGCTCTTGTCAAAAGTCCTCCTTTGCGATGTTTGCTGTGTTTAACACCGTATTTTCAAGAATAGCCAAGCTTCATCCACATGGCTCAATTTCTTAAAATCTTTGTAACTGTGTAGTGCTGCTGTTGCGAGAGTGAGACGGATAGATTACTTAGGGCCGCAGGCATTGACATCCTCGCCGCGGAGGCGACGGCAGCTGAGAAGACTTCATATTCTGAAGGTTCAGATATCTGGATTCCATGCTGTCTACCTACCCGTAAGTATTGGTACCATCCTTCACTATGAACATACTGAACAGGAGCGAGAAGCTGTACAAGCGCATTTTCCAGCTTTTGTATGATCCCCTGGTGATCCCCGACGGCCATTCGTCTCTTCTTCGAAGTCATTTTTCTTTCTTCAAAGTCAACGAAAAGCTTCTAAAGTTGTAAAGATCATCTAAACCAACAGTGCATATTGCTGATAAGAACAAATGATGTATTGGAGCCATTATGCGATGAAGCATAAGTCGAAAGTTGGGTTTATTGGAAAATTCGATTTCAAAAATCAGTTGTTCTTCTCATCAGCAACACGCTTTGAACTATTATTTTAGATAATCAGTACAATCTTGGAAGGTTTTCGTTTAGTTCGAAGAAAGAAAATAACTATCAAGAAGAGACGGTCGGCCGCCATGGATCGTCAGGGGGTCATACAAGAAGCTGGAAAAATCGACTTGTTCAGCTTCTCGCTCCTG